CTCCTCTATCTGACAAATGAAATATCTGCCGCATAATTAACAAGTCGAGCGTCACAGAGAACGGAGCTCGCTGGAGCGGTAACTCAACACAGTTATATCAACAATTCTCCGCCGCATTATACCCGGGCCTATCTCTCCGCTCCGCTGCTTACAGGGGGGACCCATAATTGCTCTGCTTTAAGCCCAATCTCCACTGCTCCCCGGCGGACAGTGCATATAACAGCCACGTATAAAAGCGGTGTGAGGGCCGTTCACCCAGCGAACGTCCCACATAAACCAGCGGCAGACGACGTAACGCCCTGGAGTTATCAATGTGCGTGAGGGGTAATGATATGTTTACTGCCTCTCCTCTCCCTCTGTCTCCTCACCTCTTCCCTCCCTCCCTCTGTTGACGGACGGCAGACAACGAGGGAGGGATGGGGTTGAGGTGATGATGAAGGAGGGAGACAATAGGGTGAGGGGAGGGAGAGAGTAGGGGGCAGGGAGTGATGATAGAGGAGGGACAATGTGGTGAGGTGAGGGAGGCAGAGGTGATGATGAAGGAGAGATATAATAGGGTGAGGGGAGGGAGAGAGTAGGGGGCAGGGAGAGATGAAAGAGGAGGGACAATGTGGTGAGGTGAGGGAGACAAAGGAAGGGAGTGATGAAGGACGGTAAGAGACAATGTGATGAGAAGAGAGAGACAGGAGGAGGAGAAGGAGGGGGGGGTGATGTAGGGAGAGAGACAACGTACTGAGGAGTGAGGGAGAGAGGGGAAGGAATAATGGTGTAAGGGGAGACATATGGACAGTAGGGGAGGAGAATATTTAGTAGGGGGGAGACAAACGATAAAGGGTAAATGACGTAGAATAATAATGAGACGATAAAGACGCGAAATGGGTTAGAAAAATGGAAAAGGTGAATAAAGAAGATAAATAACTCGGAACAATGATGAGGTTAATAAAGAATGAGGGAAGATTAAGGTGACAGATGTAACTCAGGTGAATAAGGCAACACACAGGACAGGTGTAACATATAACAGGTGTAACACTCACCTCACCCATGCCCTCAACACGTCTAGTCCGGCTCGCTGTACATCTGGCCTTAACCTCACCTGGAGGAAACACAAATGGCTTAATAAACGCAAAATGATATTCTGACCACTGAGATAATCTTATAATACTGTAATAATAAAAGGACATGTCTGTCTGTCTGTCTGTCTGTCTGTCTGTCTGTCTGTGTGTGTGTGTGTGTGTGTGTGTGTGTGTGTCAGGTAGGGCAAACTATGATGGCCAAGGTTAAACATTATATACCTAACCCGAGTTATTTCGCCCGTACAGTCTCTTAATGGGGTGTGTTGGCCCGTACAGTCGCTTACAGGTATCTCTCGCCCGTACTGTCTCTTACAGGGGCATGTTTATGTTGTAGTAGACGGCTGTATCCTCCTGTCACTTCACCACCACCTCCTCCATGGGCCAAAGGTGAGGATAATCGTTCCTTTCACTAAAACGTTTACAAATTGTCTTTCATCTCACTAAAACTCGAAAAAAATCCTTCTTTTCACTGTAAATCAACTTCACTTCTACATTAAATTACCTTAAAAAGTGTAAATCAACTTCTCTTCCACAACAGGACACGTAAATCGCCATCATCTCCACAACAGAACACGTAAATCACCATCATCTCCACAACAGAACACGTAAATCACCATCATCTCCACAACAGAACACGTAAATCGCCATCATCTCCACAACAGAACACGTAAATCACCATCATCTCCACAACAGAACACGTAAATCACCATTATCTCCACAACAGAACACGTAAATCACCATCATCTCCACAACAGAACACGTAAATCACCATCATCTCCACAACAGAACACGTAAATCACCATTATCTCACAACAGAACACGTAAATCACATCATCTCCACAACAGAACACGTAAATCCCATTATCTCCACAACAAACACGTAAATCACCATCATCTCCACAACAGAACACGTAAATCACCATCATCTCACAACAGAACACGTAAATCACCATCATCTCACAACAGAACACGTAAATCACCATCATCACAATAGAACACGTAATCGCCATCATCTCACAAGTAAATCACCATCATCTACAACAGAACGTAAATCACCATCATCTCCACAAAAGAACACGTAAATCACCATCATCTCCACAACAGAACACGTAAATCACCATTATCTACAACAGAACACGTAAATCACCATCATCTCACAACAGAACACGTAAATCACCATTATCTCACAACAGAACACGTAAATCACCATCATCTCACAACAGAACGTAATCACCATCATCTCCGAAAACGTAAATCACCATCATCTCACAACAGAACACGTAAATCACCATCATCTCCACAACAGA